AATATGTTGATATATTTCATACATAAGATAATAGAAAAACTTTCTAATGATAAGATCTTATAACAGTAGAAGAGCAGCTTGGTTGATAATTGTCCTGCTTCTAGTTCCAATTAAACACTCACTCAAATATCTGCTATAGCAGCGGTTCTCAACCTATGGGTCACGACCCCATTTGGGGTCGATCGACCATTTCACGGGGGTCGCCAAGCAAGGCTGTCCGCCATTTTTTTCCCCTTTTCCGGCGGGTGCCTTACCTCCCTTGAGCTGGGCCAGCTGGTGGTTGGCCTGCTCCATCTCTGCCGCTTGCCAGCTACTCCTCGGCTGGCGCAGGGGGCGAAACCACGCATGTGCGGCGCTCCCGGGCAGGGAAAGTCCTCGACTTACGACCGGTTGGGTAGTCCTCGACTTACGACCGGTTTAGTCCTTGACTTACGACCGGTTTAGTCCTCGACTTATGACCAGTTTAGTCCTCGACTTACGACCGGTTGGGGGTCACGGCATTAAAAAGGTTGAGAACCACTGTGCTATAGGAAATAGTAATTTACTCAAGGCCAAGAAATAACAGCCGATAAGGAATGCAAGCCAAAACAGAATCTCTGAACGAAGTTTGGTGGGTTTTCTTTAACAGGAGCACACTGAAGAATAGTCTAAATCCAGTCCAGAGTTCCAAGATCCAGGTCAGAATTTCATGAGCAGAATCCACATACAAGTATCACACAAACACTAAAGGTTAGATAGTTGCTTCCAAGGGATCATGAATCAGGGCTGCCTCTTAAATCAGGATGCAGCCCGCTGCCTCTAATCAAGAGATGCATTTTGAGCTTGGCAAGGAACTTCACAGAAATGTCTGTTCCATTTCCCTCTCTGCTTGCTGGTTGTGGGGGCTGGTAGACCTTACGTCATCATCATCATCTAACTTCTCCAGCTACTCAGGTAGTGTCTTTGTTTGATTTGTCTCATATGATTGAGTTTGTTTCTCCTGAGGTCAACATTCCACAAGTTCTGTTGGAGCAGCTTCTTCACATTCAGTCATTATCTGTTTCCTGGGTCATGACAATATAAATGGGGCTGCTAAATGAGATTTCATTCCACCAGTCCTTAAATCACCGCACTGGTTACCTGTGAGCTAAAGGCAAAATTCAAAGCTTAGGTCTCAAAAGACTTAAAATCTCCTATCAACATCACTGATCTTTTAGATTAATTTCATCATCTTAAGCCCTATACAGAATTCTAACCATGGGATCAACTCATACCGGTAGTAGTTATTGCCATACCTAATGTGTCCTACCCCCTCCCAATTTGTGGAATTCTCTTTCTGGATAAGAATTAGTGCCTCTGATCCCATTTAGACCCATGCAATAGCTTAAGACATGGTTATTCATGCAGATATATTCTGGATAAAATAACCCCAGCTGTTTTTGATGGGTTTTACGTTTAAAAAATAATGAAAGTGTTTAAATATTTATTTCTGGATTATTATTGTTAAGCACTTGCCAATGCGAAATTTATAAAGGTAATTCAAAGGCTTCTTTGCAGCTTTGCAACTGAAAAATCTTGTACTAACTATCTAGTACAATTTACTCGATGAAATAATTTTCTCCTACTCATTTTTTGATAGAAAGCTGCCTTACCCTGAAATAGAAGAGCTGTATTTAGATCAACACCATTTACTGTTAGCGTCTCTCCACCTTTTATGCAGAAGCTTTTCTGGATTGAATGGGATCTAAAGATTTCTTCCTTTTTCAATAGGTTCTATGTATATCTTCTTTCCTAACTAATTTAGTACTATTTTACTCAGATTTCCTTGCATATTAAGATTTTAGAAGCAGCTCAGCTATTCACTTAATTATTAACCCAAAGCATTACTTTGAATATCCTAGACAGATAAGACATGTAAATGAATAATTTTAAATATGTTAGTTCAACTAGAGATGCATATTATTTTGCTCCTAGGACCACAACTATGGAAACATTATTGCTGATTAAAAAGATTATCTTATTTGTCAGAATACAAATATGTATTATTATAATCATGAATATTAAGTATATGCATTTCTATTCAAAAGATATTGTGAAATCATCAAAAGCATTAGAAGTGTGGCAAAGCAGCAGCAAAGGCTTAACTGTTAAGTTCACAAATCATTTCAGGTAGCTGTTATAGCTGCCCAGACTCAGCTAGAAACAGTTATAGCTGTGGACTGTTGTGATGGCAACAGAAACATTTTGGAGAAGTGAGAAACTGATGAACACAAAGCCTGTGGTTATGACATGTGGATGTGGAGAATGTATAGCAGGGGTGTCAAACTCAATTTCATTGAGGGCCGCATCAGCATTGCGGTTGCCCTCAGGGGGCCGGGTGGGTGTGGCCAGGGTGGGTGTGGTCTACTGGGTGGGTGTGGCCAGCTCTACATCATTCGCGTCAAGGGTGCCTGTGGGGGCCTGGGCAGGAGTGGGATAGATTTTAGGGTCTCTGTCAGAAGGGGGTTGGACCGGGGCAAGTGCCAAGGCATGGTCCACTGGAGGAGCCTCACTATTCCTCTCAGGCCATGCGGGGGGGCTTATGGAGCTAAGACTGAATGCATTTCAGCATAGATGGCCACCACAAAATTGTACATTGGCTCCCATCTGGCCTGGGCCAGGGCCAAGGCAGAGGGGGCCGTTCCCTCACTGTTTCCAGGATGGCTTCGCGGGCCACATGAAACGACTTCGCGGGCCGCATCTGGCCCCCAGGCCTTGTGTTTGACATGTCTGATGTATAGTTTTGTTAGCAATAGCTTTATAGTACCTTGTTATTTAAGAGTAAAAATCCATGATCAGCACAAGGCAAAATCAGTGATTTCTCATCAACTGAATCAGTTTTACAGTTTTCATTTTATACTGCAGAAATATTTTAAATAAGACTAGAGGTCAAAGTACAGATAGTTTTTTTGGTGTATGCTAAATACCAAAACATCTTGACAAGCTTAGCAGGAATTGTCATCCTGTCTGTTCTTCACCCTCGATATCTTGAATATGCAATAACAGTGATGTACTTTTGCAGTATGCATTTTTGTTTAGAACTTAATCCATTAGCTGGAAGCTATCTACTGGAGGGTGTAGGAGGCAGAAGAGAAGCAAGTAGGAATCTCTGAAGCATACTATAAGCTACCACACATGTGGCAGTTTGCCTAGAACTACCAACATCCTCCCTCAGTCTGAAAGAAATTGAAACATGATTAGTGAGGATGCAAGACAAGTGAAATAAATATTTTATATCCTAAGTTGCTTCTTTTATAAGAAAGGGAATTGGTATTACATCACTGTGTATTCTCTTAACCATGCAATATTTTGCCATTTATACCAAAGGTCTGTAATTATAAAGGCATCAAGTGATCTATCTATAATCATCTTTTCAAGAGGAATCCACAAGCCCTGCAGAAAAATATAGGAAGCAGTCTTATTATTGAGTCAGATGGCTGGTCTAATTTCCTACCTGCAAAACACATGACTTCTTGTTGTGCTAAATCAGAATAACATTTGGAAAACAAAACGGCCAAAGTTGGATTTATCTAGCTGCATATAGTACATTATACATCTCCTAGATACAACTGGGAGGACATGCTTGAAAAATAATTTGCTCCTTTTGTATTTCAGAGTTGTATTCGCTTTTCCTGCTCTTTATAAAATGCAAATACAAGTTGTTTTGTCTTGCTGCAATGCTCTTCCACAGCTGCTACTCTGGAAATTATTTTGAAGTGTTGTGTATTTAGACTAATTTCTTCTACACATTTAATATAAATGGAGGGAAATCAAGCTCACAAGCATTCAGAAGTCTTCCTGTCTTTTGATCCAAGCAACTTTCCCTACATGGGTGCCCTTCACCTGGATTGGATTTCAGCGCCCATAATTTCCAGGCACAAATTACAATCCAGAGTTGAGGTCCAATACAACTGGAAGGCTCACAGAATGACCACAGTATCTCTGGAGTCTTTAATGGACATATTTTATTCTGAAGATATCCCCGAAGAACAAGGAAAAGAATTTCGAAACCGAGGGACTTCAGCCAGTCTAGTTTCATGGTCAAATTGGGAGTGAAATACAAGTTTAGCCGGCTCAGGCAGAAAAAAGTAGAACGTGTTATGTTCACAACGTCTTGGAAGGAAACAGTCGTTAAAAACCGACCAACAACCCGAAGGAGATTCACCAAATTTTTAAATCCCACCAACTTCTAGGAGATGGCCCTATTTATGTAAGCTCCTCATGACCATGTGCCGTGCAACACAAGCGGAACTCCACCTTCCTCGCTTCCCCTCCCACTAAGCAGATTGGGGGAAAAAAAGTAGAAGAAAAAACACTGGAGGAGCTTCCTTAAACCTAGTTTCCTCCTCTTCTCCTCCTCCTCTTCTCTCCCCCCCCCATTTCTCCTCCCTCCTCCCTCTATCTTCCTCCTCCTCCTCCTGGCCGAGCTTTTGTTTTTCTTCCCAGCTATTTCCCACACGTGATTGCCGTGTTTTTACGCCGAGCGCTTGGCGGGCCGAATGCACCTATAAATGCTAATAACTTTGGCCAAGGAGAGAAGAAAGGCAGGAGCCAGAGGGGGGGGGGGGAGGAAAGGAAGAGGAGGGGGGGTGCATAACTCGGGCGCTTTATCCATGCAGGCAGCCGGGGGGGAGGCGGAAGACATGCCATGCAAGCCAAAAGTCCCCTGCTTCGCGCGGCTGGCGCTCCCTCGCCTCGCCCCAGCTTGCTGCTAACCCTCCGCTCGCCGCCGGGGAGGTCGCGCCTGCCGCTCGAAGTCTCATTCTTGCCCGCTCTGAGGGAGGGACGGAGGGTGGACGGGCGGCTAGCGAGCGCCACAGACAATGGCGGCGGCAGCGGCGGCGGCTCCTCCTGCCGCCGCCGCCGCCACCACCACCACCAGCAGCAGCAGCAGTAGTCCCGGTGCTACTAGCAGCGGCGACGGCAGTACATTCCACCAGCAGCTGGAGCCCTGCTTAAGGAAGCCGCCGCCGCCGCCGCGCATGGACCCGCGGCGCAGGCAGGCTGCTCTCTCCTTCCTAACGAATATCTCACTGGACGGGCGGCCGGTGTTGCAGGGCGAGGAGGGCGGCGAAGAAAGCGACGTCGGCGCGGCAGCCGCCGCAAGGACTGCTTCTGCTGCAGCCTGCGGTATCAGCAGCGGCAGCAGCACGCGGACTCGTCGGGGCAACCTGAGCGCTTTCCAGCCGCCCGCCCCGCAGCAGTACGGAGCTTATGCCAGCGCCTGCGGTGGCGGCGGCGGCAGCAGCAGCAGCAACGTCAAGCTCGTGAGCCCCCTGGGAGCGGCTGGCCAGCCGCAGCAGGGCGAAGACGACGAGCAGGAGGAGGACGAGGACGAAGATGCTTTTACTAGCGTGCAGGTGCCCATTGCCGCCGCCGCCGCCCTCCCGGTCTCCTCTGGGACCCCCTGTGCAAGGGGTCGCCTCAACTCTTTCACTCAGGGAATCCTGCCCGTCTCCTTCGCCAGAACCGCCCCACAGAACTATTGCTGCGTCGAGCAAGGCCCGGTGGGCGCCAGCGCTTTTGAGCTGCAGAGGTCCAGGTAAGTGGCATCCAGAAGGGCCTCGAATGGGTGTGGATATCTTCAAGAGGAAAAAAAACCCAGAAGGAAACAAACCAGGGTTTAACTCTTACCTCGAAGCTCTTTGGTATCTAATTTCTGAGCTGTGAAGTTTGTGTCACTCTGCACATGCAGATTAAAAAATATTCTCTAAGAATATTTAAGGTGTTCATGGGCTGATAACTGTTACTTACATTAGGAGCTCAGGAGAAAGCTATAGCCAGTTCTCAATTTTGACCAGTTATGTATGTATGACTGCAATTTATGTGCCACTTAATTCCAAAAAGGCTTTGAACAGCTGTCATGAGAAATGTCAGGGTTTGAGGCATCTTCAAATTGTTTCCACTTATTCTCCAACATGTGTGCGTAGGTAGAGAAGTCAGTTTTAACACAGTGATAAGAAAATATTTTCTTCATGTTCAAAGAATCTTCTGTACTTTGTGGCTCTAATACTTAGCAAAAGGGATTTGAGTTGAACTTCAATGAAAAAAGGGATCATGTGCAAATATCATATAAGAGGAATTAGTTGTTATGCATTGATACTGTTGTACTTATTTGATTTTTCCACCAGTACATATCTGTAAGTTACATTAGAAGTCTAAACACTGTCCTTGTCCACAGGGGACTTGTTGCACCTGTCTGGGCTCAGAAGCTAAAATGAATAGGGCTTGGTTAGTAGGTGGATGAGAGACTTAGGAAATCTCAAAGCTAAAAGACAGGCTAAGGAGTTAAAACACATTAGAAGAATGCAGTGGCAACCTCCTTCTGTACTGTAACTAAGAGGATTGCTAGAACATGGCATGACCTTGCCAGGAGTTGAGTTCCACATGAAGGAATCTGCCTTTTATCTACTGTGCACCCATTCCTCTTTAAATACATTTATTTAGTACAAAATTCTGAAGGGGGAAGTTATTTTAGGCCTGATAAGCTCAAGAATACAATTATAAAATGCTTCTTTTCTCTTAGTGTAGAAATGATTGCAATGTACAGCATCCTATTTTGTAAACCCTCTAAAGTATTAGACAATTTTATTTTCTATACAAAATTTAGCATAACTGCAGGCAGCATATACATATTAATTAGTAGGCTTCCATATTAAATTTAGAACTAATCTTGTCCACTATATTACATGAACGGACCTTTGGTTACACAGTGAGACTTCCCCTTGGTTACTCTCACGCTGTGTGCAGAGTTCCTCCAGAGTAGGCTTGAGAAACTACTAGGGGAGATGGAAGAATTGGTTCTGCCAATAGTTTCTACTTTGACAGATGGGCCAATACAAATCCCCAAATTTGCACAATATTGTGACTCAGTCTGACAGCAACAAGACTGCTTCATATATCTCAAAATACTTGTCCCATCTTCCTAGAGCAAATGCCGACTTATTTTAAGAGTTTTATCTTAAAACATTTAGAGCCCTGAAAGGTAATATACAATGTGACAGAATACTCTAGTGCAGCTTTGGTAGAGTTTGAATAAATGTATTTGATTTCCCTGTTCTTATGAACAGTGTCTGTTCATAAGTAAAATGAGTATGAGTTTCATTATTGATTTGAAGACAACTAACCAAATCTTGGCACTAATCTTGAAATCAGGACTTGTATCATTTTTTTATTGTGAAATTTGGAGCAATAATTTCTAAACCTGCTTTTTAGGCTAATAGAGAAGTCACTTTTTCCAAATTGCATTTCAGCCTCTGAAATACCACTCAGTATAGGTAATCCTTGATATATGACCGCAGTTGAGCCCAAAATTTCTGTTGCTAAACAAGGCAGTTGTTAAATGAGTTGTACCCCATTTTACAGTCTTTTTGTCACAGTTGTTTAGCGAATCATTACAGTTGTTAAGTGAATCATGCAGTCATTGAGCAAATCTGGGTTTCTCCCATTGACTTGTTGGAGGATGGCTGGGAAGGTTACAAATGGTGATCACATGACCCTGGGACAGTGCAACTATCATAAATACATGCCAGTTTCCAAGCACCTGAATTTTTGATCAAGCATCCATGGGGATGCTGCAACAATCATAAGTGAAAATTAGTCATAAGTCACTTTTTTAGTGCTGTCGTAACTTCAAATGGTCACTAAATGATGTTTGTAAGTTGTAACGTTTAGAAAAACATTTAGATGTTATTAATGCTGAAACTACATACAGTAATCAAAGCATCAATTAAAATGTAAAGCTATTTTTGCACCTTGATCAGATTCTCCTTTTCTATTCTGTTCCAGTTGTTAAGTTTGGTGACAAATAGAACTATAAGGGAAGAAATTAGGCTTCTCAACTCTTACTATTGACATAAAGAGGTAGCTTGGAAACTTTCATTTATTCTTCTCTCTCCTTTTCTCTTCGGATGCTACTTGTAAACTATCATAGTGGGTTTGGCACATTATATGGGAATGTCTGTAATTTTCATTTTTAATGGCATAATTTCATGAAATCGTAGTGAAATTAATGAGAAGCAAATCTCCGTTACCTTTCTGAAGTTAAAACTGGTAGACCGCCAATTAAAATAGCACTCATATTTAATCTTTTGTATGTTTTTCTGTTGAGTGTTGATCTTAGTATCTGAAATCTTAATCCCTTCATTTATTCTCTGCTGTTATCATGCATTATTTATGACCTGATGCATTACCCCATCACTTGCATTCTGTCGTTTTTCAGCATTGATCTTGATTTAATGGGGGGCTGCTACAGTCTGTTTGTTTAAAGCAGTGTTTCTCAACCATGATGACTGGGGAATTCTGGGAGTTGAAGTTCACATATCTTAAAAGCTGCCAAGGTTGAGAAGCACTGGTTTAAAGAGTAAACATTTTATTTATCTTGGACGTTAGGCAGGGTTGACCCTGATTGGCTTGGATTAAGGACCATTTGGGAATTCCAAGTCTGTAGGCTGGATGAGGGAATCAAGAAAAATGCTTTGGAAGAAGACTGAGTAGACTTGGTAGTAGAAATGGAACAATGTGAAGAAACTTACACAAATGCCATCTCCAAGAGCTGAATTTAATTCAAAGCATCTTTATCTCACCTGTTTTAAAACATTAAAGAAAGTCTTCAGTGATTGGTGAATAAATAAGAGCAGCAATCTGTAAATTTTCCCCCCTAGGTGCTTTAGCTTGATTTAGATCTTAACAAAAATAATTGGCAGAAGACAAGCATTTAGTTGCTACAGTTGAAATCTCAGATTTGTATTTTCCCCAGGAAATTAAGTAATTTGGTTGATCTGGTTAGGATTAAAAAAGTGCATGTCAGAATCAAGATAGATGTTTATAAAGATAATTTATTGATGAGAAAATATAGCCATGTAAATATTTCTACTTCTAAAAAAATTGAATTGTGACCAGAGGGGAAAGGTAGTTTTTATTATAAAATGAGCAGTGGTAGGCTGTAGGCTATACCAGGGGTCCCCAATCTGTGGACCAGTACTGGGGCGTGGCATGCCAGCAACTGGTCCGCACAATCAAGCAAAGCCCCATCTGCGAGATGCAGGCAGCACACAAAATCATGCACCCTCCGGTCTACGGAAAAACCTCTCTCCAGGGAACCGGTCCCTGGTGCCCAAAAGGTTGGGGCTACACGACATGAGAAAAGTTTAATGAATGTATTCGTTAATGTGAAATAACCGATATCACAGTAGTCTTCATCTTTCTTTCAAGAATATAGCATTTACAACAAAACCCCTCTGAGATGAAAGGGAAAGCATGTAATAGCCTTCACCCACCAAATCATGTTAATAGTAGCATAGAAGTTTAATTTCCCTAGTTCAAATTTAACATTTGTTTGTGATATCCTACTGCTTCCATATTACCAATTCTACCTTGTTTTTGTTTTTCTTTACCCTTTTGGTGCTTAAAGGCTTCAATTATCTCTTTTTAAAACATGCTCATACCAAATTAAAATAAGATTGAATAATTTTTGCTTCATTGTGTTTTGGAACTGAGCCATTGTTTTGAAAATCAAGGTGTATGCTAATCCATAATATGATTTATTTGTTGGGCATAACATGTTCCGTCAAAACAACAATTACATTTTCTTAATCTGGATTTAGCATGTGTAAACACAGTTAATAAGTCCTTCCAGATTTATTTCGTATATTTATAATAATGCCCTAGCAGTCATTTGGCATTTAGTGTAAAGCCTTGAAAATGAATTTATTTATTAAAAGATTTATATTCTCTCCTTGTGTAAAATAGTTCTCAAGGTTTACCAGAGAGACCCACCATTATACGATGGATGCAACTCACTGTTACATGCCATATTTTCTCTGCTTCAAATATTTAATTTGAGCCTAATTTAAGAATGTTGTTATCTTATGCAGAGTGATATTATGTGACAAGCCAATGAATACTTTACCACTAGTTGTTTGCCAGAGGTAAAACATTTTCACTGATGGGAAATTATGATCCAAAATATGTGGAAGGCACCAGATGAGAGGAAAGGAATCATGGTGACATCTCACTAAAGCTCATCCATCATTTGCCAGCTTTGCAGAAATCTCAGGAGATGTGTCTTTTGAATGTTTAATTGGTTGAATCCTACTTCTTCTAGTGATTTTTCAGTTTTAACAGTATAAAGATTCTAATTAATTTTATGGAAATATAGCATATAAATAAGCAATTCTTGCCCTTTTGAACTACATGACCAACTGAATTAGATATGTCAGATCTTTTCCCCTCTATAAAATATACTACATCAATTAAATGTAAAATAGTATTCAAATTATTAATCTGTTCACAGACAAAATATAAAACTCATATATAAATGAGATGTTTTCCATCTCACTTCTTCTGTGAATTGTCCATATAGCTATGAAAATAGCATTACATATTTTTCAACAAATGCCAAACCATATTTTAGAATTATTATTATTATTACTTTTTCTTTGCTAATCTAGTCATTCTAAGGGACAATTTGTGAGTTTCATGTGCACAGATCTGTCATTTCAATCCATCATTGAGTGGCAAAGAGTCAACATTGATTTGTAG